TTCTTACCCCGTGGCCCTCGTTGCCCTTGTGACCCTCGATTCCCTCTTTGCCCTCATGGGCCTCGAGAATTTCCACATTCTCCTCGTGGCCCTCATTACCCTGGTGACCCACATAAAATCTTAATTTCCCCTCGTTGCTCTTATCACCCTCGGGACCCTCGTCGCCCTCGTGGGCCCCGAGAGTTTCGACATTCTCCTCGTGACCCCCATTACCCTTCGTAACCCACATGAAATCTGACCTTCTCCTCGCTGCCCTCGTGGTCCTTGTTGTCCTCGTTGCCCTTATCACCCTTGTGCGCCTCGAGAATTTCAACATTCTCCTCGTGGCCCTAATGACCCTTGTGACCCGCATGAAATCTGACTTTCCCCTCGCTTCCCTCGTGGTCTTTGTTGCCCTCTTGGTCCTCGTTGCCCTCGTTGCCCTTGTCACCCTCGTTGCCCTTCGTGACCCTCATGAACCTTGACTTTCTCTTCGTGACCCTCGTGGGCCTCGAGAAATTTGACATTCTCCTCATGGCCCTCATTGCCCTTGTGACTTGCACGAAATGACACGCTAATAAAATAACGAGCCATGCCGCAAATCAAATATTCAAACGTCGCGCCGGGCCGACTGCGCCCTAAAGGCTGCGCACTATTACCCGAGAGGAGTGGGGAGCGTGTGGGAATTCCCATCTGGCATCACTGGTCCAACTCACGGTTTCCATTCCGTACAATACCGTAGCGTAAGCAGGATAGTTCCCGACTGTGATACTATTGTAATCCCCTCGATCATTGTAAATACTCAATCGTTAATCGTTAAAAATTGCAAACATATTCGCTGTACGCATCTCCGAAAATATATAAAAATGGGTTTCATATCGATAGTAGTGTCTCCTGTCATTCGTGCTGACCAGGACTATCATCGACGAGAACTTTGGGTAAGTGCATTCATCAAATTTATCTGTTCCCAAAGAATCATGCATAATTAATCAATAATAATTCCAGCACTTGAAACAAGAAATAAAAGACGTCTTCAAGAAATACAACAGCACCACGTGTTCCTACTTGTTGCGCAATTTTGAGTCATCATTCTACGGATATCAAGATAATTTTGCTATCGTCGATTTTAAAAAGAAGGAATGTGCTGCGAGAGCTCTGAAAGCCGTTGAGAATGGAGAAATAAGTATTAACAGATTAACGATAACAGCGAAGCCAATAGAATTGACTCATTGTCCAATAGACAGATTACCAGACAACTGTCTGCTGGAACTATTCGAGCATTTGTCCACCTACGAGCAATTAAAATTGTCATCAGTCTGTAAACGTTGGGGTAAAGTGTCTCGATCTCTCTGGAGAACAACAGCAAAGATAGATCTGCGTAACAAATCCCTCGTGCACAAAAACAAAAAGTACATAATCAACAGTGGCTCACACCTGAAGGACATTTACTGCTACGACGATTATGGATTAAAAATCATCGGAGACCACTGTAAAAATCTGGAGAGCATTGCCATAGAGTTTCGTAAATACATGACGAGAAGAGGACTGGACAGAGCCTGCATCCAGTACGAAGGTCAGACATTACAACAATTCGCCAATTTGACTCGTCTCATGCTGAAGATCAGAACCCCCCAGTACACGTACTTCTCCTTCCTCCAGAATCTTCCATCGACGATGATCGAGATTCACCTCTTCAACGACATTGAAAAGCCAGAGAGTGGCAGAGAGAGATGGATGATCAGAAAGGAAAAACTAGCCAAGTTCGCAGAGCCACGAGCAAAATACGGAAGAAAAACCCTGGACCTGTCCAGATTTACAAACCTCAGAGCTCTGACCTTGAGGTGTTATCACCTGGACGATGACTCCCTGATTGGACTGGAGAAACTGGAAAAATTGATCTGTTTACGTTTGGATAGATCTCACATGTCCAAACTCACCATCGGGAAATTGAAATTCTTCACGAATTTGGAGCACTTGTCATTGAAACGATGTTCAGTTGATTACGACGACATGTGGCTCATTCTGAAGAGGAACAGAAACCTCAAGTATTTAGCTCTACCCCAAATGTCGGATTTTTACGACGATGAGAAGATCTGGCTTCGAGCGCTGGAGCTTGAGCACCTGAAGGTCCTCTGCTGGGTGGATATCGAGCGCAAGATCAGGGAGTCTTCGGGAAGGTCGACAACAATAGAATACATAGAGCTTCACGATGTGTGTCTGTCAGACAGGAGAACCCTCCTGCTCCTCGAGGACTTCCCCAATTTGAAAGTCCTGAAGCGAACGGGTTTCTACGGTTACCCCAGTGATTGGTACTTATCAGACGTTAGAAATGTCATTATGAGCAGGCCTGACAAGGCCCCAATGAGGTACTACCACGAGCCGCGAGTGAGGAGGTCAACTGAGAGGTACATTCCCTTCCCAAGCTTCAACTCCGAGAATTTTGAACACAGCGAGGTTGTGAGTGCTGAGGACGCCAGGATATTCAGATGCAACGAGTGGGACGGCTGGTACATCGAAGACTCATCTGCATCACCTGATCCCCCAAAAACAATCGATGACCAGCCAGTGGAATCCATGACAACGTCCCCCTCGATTATCGAAGAATTATCTGACGATTGTCTCAACAGAATTTTCAATCATCTCCCACTGGATGATGAATTAACTGCTGCAGAGGTTTGCAGACGATGGAAAGAGGTTTTGGGAGAGAAATGGGAGAACTGCAAGAAATTAGACGTACGAGAGCTCTCGTGTCATGAGAACAGGGAGAAATGCATGGTACAATGTGGAAAGTACTTCGAGGACGTTTACACCTACAAGAGCTGTGGATTCTCGGGGATAAAGGCTCACTGTCCCAATGTCAAGAGCCTGGGGCTCGACTTTGGGATCAAGAGGTGCAGATGCAGGCCATCGTCGCGCAAGGAGCGCTACAGTTTACGCAGTTTGCAGCCAACGTTGATGGGGTTGAAGCACTTGTGTCGTATCATGCTGAGGGACGCTCCTGTTTTTCAATCAGACATCTCTGAACATTTGCCAGAGAGTCTGGAGGAGATTCATGTGTTCAATAGGCGTCCAATGAGTTTTGAAGAATCGACAGAGCCCCAACAGGAGGACAATGCGAGTGTCCTGGATTTATCAAGATATTCAAAGTTACGAGCTCTCACTTTGATTGAAGCCCAGGTAAATTATCTGGAGCCTTCCAGGAAATCTGTCAGGGTCATTGGTCTCGAGAATCTGGAGGAGTTGATCTACCTCAGGGTGAGTCGTGTGGTAATTTCTGAGGAGTCTGGGGATCCTCTCAGGAACGTTAAGAAATTGGAATATCTGTCGATGCCTCTGTCGACGCTTTCAGCCGATAATTTTCGGGCTCTCATCGAAAATAATAGAAATCTCGAGTACTTAGACATCACTGATAATTTCGATGGGGTTCCAATCAGTAAATTCCTGCCTGTTTTAAGTTTGCGAAGGTTGAGGTACCTGCGAATGGTTAATATTGCTGCACCTGGCCCAGAGCACATAGGCTTTCATGATATCCCTGAGGAGATTGAGATTGATGGAATGCAGTGTTTGGAGATTTTTGATTGTAAAGGACCTGAAGGACTGCCAAATGATCTATTCCTTCGGATAATTGGGGCTTCTCAAAATTTGAAGATTGTCAACGTCAGTGTCATTGATGGCAATTTGGCTGAGGAGCTGCTCGCTGTTGCTGGGAGCAATGTGTTTGCTCGTCGGGGTCTAAATACTCGTGTCAAGGCGTTTGTCGGGATGGAGGGGTTCAGATTGTCCAGAAATTTGGGGCTGCATGTGGATGGGGTGATACTTTCTGAAGTTCCCCCTCAGAATTATTGTGTCATGGTGGAGAGAAGCTACTGGGGAGGATGGAGCACTCAGGGTGACAAGGGAAACACCTCGAACTTGCTTTCAGAATTATTCAAAGTGATCAATCACTAACGCCCGAAGAGAATAAACAATAACAATTAGAAGTTTGTGAAAATATTTGGAAATATTTCAATTTGTATTGATGCTGTTGCCTTTTAAATTTGGAATAAACTTTTCTTTTACAATTTTTAATCAAAGAAAATGGTTGCATTTGGAATTTACGGTATTTGTAATGAAGAACATGGTCTTCTTATTTTTCAAGAACTTTTTGGACTGAAAAAATTTATAGATTGGCTCAGAAAATTGCTACAGTTAATTGCAATTAGCGAAATTGAAGCGAGCGAAAGATTTGACAGCAGAAGATTTGTCTTAGGCGAATCTAGGGGTGTACAAATGCTTTTTAATTGCGAAAGAGTTTGTACATTATGATTATTTGACTCTCCTGCACTTGAATATCCCCTAAATTGAATTTTCCGCCGACGAATCTTCTGCCAGTTTCAGTTTCATGTATAAAATAATGAATGAAACAGGTGGATTCACTCACCGGCGTTGGATGAAAACAACTGCTCCGTTTTCACCTCTCCAACCGCGATCTCCAGCTGTCCCGTGGGGTTTCACCTCTCCAACCGCGATCTCCAGCTGTGTCCCATGGGGTTGAATCCGCTCCAGCGCACTTACACTCACAACACAACTAATTGTATTTCCACTAAGAGAAAAATCAGTCAAAAACACTCACTAGAGTATTTAAAATCAGCACTATCACTCGAAATGAAACCAAAACACCGAGAAAGAGTTCACTCTCGTCCATTTTATCAATGTTTTCACGAAAATTCACGAAACTGTTCGTTTTATTTTCACAAAGAGAAAAACCAAACTGAATGAATTCACTGTAGCGTTAGGAATGAACACAATGACTCGAAATCAAAACAAACAAACACTTTTCTCAATTGAGAGAAGGAAAATGGCCGCCAATCAGTAACAGTTCAGAAAGTGACTAATTTTATAATCTTTACCATCGACTCCCACTATTAAAGAAAAAATCCTGATTAAAATCAATAACAACCGGTTTTTTTAAACGAAGCGTCCCGATTAAAAGGCATAACGGCCCTGAAACCCGGACGTTGGACGGCCTCAAAAGCACTGAACAGCACTTTTCTCAGTTTAACAAATTAAATATTTAATTCACCATTAACCAGACACTTAGATTATCAATTATTTCACTATGTTTATGCTTTAATATTGAAAAATCGGGAGATTGATGGCCATCCTGCAGCCGTCAGCTACACTCTACGAGTGGGTGGCGGAAAATGGACACTTTAGACTTTTTTAGAATTATTCATAACTCAGAAACAAATTTATTAATTGAGCTCAGTTCAGGCTCGTCACAAAGGGAAAGAATTGTTCTTTGTATTGAAAAAAAATGTTCGTTTTACCCCAATCTCCCTTACGGGCTTGAACAAGTTTGAACGCGCAAACTATCGGTCGTCCATCTTGTGATACCGATCGCCACGCCGCCACCGATAAATAGCGGCCCCAGTCGGAACTACTCGAGGCCCCGCATGAGTTTCACGCTGGCCTGTGTTTCTGACAAACTGATAGATACATTTAGTGAGTATAAACCCTACAATTAACCGAAATAAAAATTATCCCCGGTGTTCAGAGACACCAGGGCAGCGACGATCGCCCGATATACGAGGGGTTTTCGCCATTTCCAGGGCTCATTCAGTGATTTTTACCCCAACGACCAGAAAGCGTGTCTCAGCAGCCGGGATTGACCGCCATTTTCAGTATTTACTCGCAAACCCCTCGATTTTGTTGTGTTTTATCTGAAATAACTGTTCAGTAATCACCGGAGCTGACCATGTGAGTATTTTTCGTTATTTGCGTGATGATTGACCGCTGGGGAGATTATTGTGAGGGAGATTGGTTATTTCTGCTCAGGGCTAGGAGTCGTAAGGACAGCAATGGGAAGAGCGACTCCGAGGCGACTGATAAGGACACCAAGCGTGATAAGGGCCGTGAGAAGGACAGGAAGAAACGTGCTGCATCGTCGTCGAGTAGTGGAAGCAGGTAAATAAAATAGAAATTTTATTTATTTCAGTTGAAATGGAATTTTTAATTTATTCAGTGCAAAGTAGTCTGCAGTTGATGGCCAGTATCTCGGAATTGGAGCGAGATAGGGAAAAAATGATGATTAGCTTTTTTGTAGCTCTGATCAATCTCTACAAAAATGTTCTTATGAAAAATTTCGCTATCTCCCTTGGATTCGGAGATATTTCCAAAAAAGAAAATGTTTTATTGAAGAATTAGTTTACCAGGTGAAAAATAATTATTCTGATTGTTGCAGTTCATCAGACAGCAGCTCAGGATCGTCGAGCTCCAGCAGTGGCAGCAGTTCTCGTTCGAGTTCTTCATCCAGTAGCTCGTCAAGCAGCTCTGGTAGCTCGTCAGGGAGCTCCAGGGACAGAAACCGTAAACGCAGTCGTAGCAAGAGTGCTGATGTCTCCAGGAGGCACGATAACAAGGAGAAGGAGAGGGAGAAGGATCGAGAAAGGGAGAGGGAGAGAGAACGAGACAGGAATAAGGACAAGAAGAAGAGTGATTCTGTGGTTGATAAACCAAAACCCAAAGGGAGATCTAGGTAAGTTATAAATTCATGGCTTGTCTACTATTTTATTGACATATTCTTGAAGAACTCAAAGAAATAATCATTCTAGGTTTCAATAACCATTGAAACTAATTTTTCGTACGAGAAATAAAGTATTTTTGTTTAAAAAAATCCTAAAATCTCAACTAAAATAGTAAAATCTCCCCAGTGAAATCCCTCGAACTCATCGCGAAAATCTTTTATCACAGGAAAAATTCTAGTGTCCCCAGATAAATCAAAAATTATAAAATGAAATCCCTAAAGAAACGTTACTTGTTACTTAATAACCGTAATAATAAATCGTATATATAATATAGTTCTATAGACGGCCAGATCCCCCAGGATCCATTTTGAATCTATCCTCGTGAAACTCCTCAAAACAATCTCATTGCAATTAATCTTTAGACAGAAAGACACCTGCACTCACCAGTCATTCTTCCCACTATTCACAAATTTATTTAAAACTGGTTTTGATTCAGTGTGGAATACAAAAAGCTAAAAATTTCTCTGTCAATATGAACCCAAGTATACCCACGTTTTCATTAAAAAATTCTATCGACAAATATTTTGAAATCCATTGGAGATGAAGGAACTTCCTTGAGAATTTCGTAATTTCCCCAGAATTCTTCGAATTAAAAAAAAATCCATTCAAACCCCAAAAATTTTGTCATTCCGATGTCCTCCAGGTCTCCATCGCCAAGAAGATCAGTCTCTCCCCGTCGAAAGCGTCGCGAGCGCTCGCCAATACCTCGTCCCACGAAGATCCACATCGGTCACTTGACCAGAAACGTAACAAAGGATCACATAGTGGAGATATTTTCCACCTACGGTCAGATAAAAATGGTGGACTTTGCAGTGGACAAGATGCATCCAAATCACGGTAGAGGGTTTGCTTACGTTGAGTTTGAGACAGCTGACGAGGCTGAGAATGCCATGAAGCACATGGATGGGGGCCAGATCGATGGGCAGGAGATAACAGCAGCTCCAGTCCTTCTGCCCAAGCCCAGACCCATGCCCATGAGGCGAATGTCCCCTGGGATGGGCAGGGGTGGACCCATGCGATGGGGAGGGAACAGGAGAAACTCACCACCTCGTTATCGTCGACGTTCACCTCCGATGAATCGTCGCAGAAGCCCGAGGCCTCCCAGGCGCAGGCAGAGGTCCAGGTCCAGGAGTCCTGTTAACAGTTCACGTCACAGGCATCGGAGATACACCAGGTCCAGCTCCAGCAGTTCACGATAAAATTCATAGGCTTTGGGTGTAAATTATCATTTGGGGAGATTCGTGGGAGGAGAAAAGTGAATTAAAAACGATTGATGATTGATTGAGGAAAAAATTGTGATTCAGTTTCAGGTTTTGGAAAGTATCTTGGAATTGTGGAGAGATGGGAGGAATTTTATGCAGGAATTTACGAAAAGGTTTCTGTGAACAAGGATCTCCATTCGGTCAGGAGATACTTATGCAAAAACTGAACTAAAAAGAGTCGTTTTTCATTTTTTTTTCTTGAATTGCCACTGTATTGCCGACTTTTGAACATCAAAGGGCTGAAGATAGTCTTTTCATTGATCTTTGGTGGGAATTTATGAGTATTGGGGTTGGAAATGTATTTTTTCAATGAAAAATAGAGTTGGAAGGCTAATTAATTATTGAAAAATTGATGATTTTAGATGCAAATTCAAAATTACTCGTTATCGAGATAATTGCATAATTATGAAAAACTTTTACTTCAACCCCAGAAATTTTGTTATAATGAATTATTAAAATCACATGAAATTCCCAAATCAATTATCACAGTAAAACCGACGAAGTGAGAATGATTTACCACTAATATCGTAATTTTAGTTAAGAATACTGTGAAACAAATAAAAATAAAAATTGCCAATAGGTATTTTTTATGCACTGTAAATGTTAACGAAATAAATCATTCGGATAATGAAATACTGTACAATGTGTGGGGATTAAAAATAAACAAACACTTTCATTTTTCGACAAGTTGGTACTTTGATAGAAACTATTGATTATTGGATCCTTTTACAAAGAATCAATTTTCGCATTTTTGTTTCATTTTCTTTTAGAAAAGAATTCTATTCACACAAAACTTTCCATTATACTCGTTTTTTCTTTATCTACAAAAACAGAAAAAAATGTCCATTGCTTTCCTCACTTTTAGTTTTCATATTCTTTCTTCTTAGTTCCTCTTGGGTCAGCTCCATTTAATTTATCGCTGTAATTACTTGTTTTTTTTTTTAAATCTTCATTGATGAAAAATATCTACAATCTGTTTTTTAGCCTTTATATATTCGCTAGATTTTTATATAATTATTTAATATACAATTTCACAGTCACTTTTACAATGTGAATAAATCAATTAAATGGTCATGAGGAGAAGGGGGCTAGCAATTTATTTTCATTTTTCAAACAATTGCAAAAATCCCTAATTGAAAGATTTTTTTTTCGCTTCAGTTCAATTCATTCCGCAATGGCATTCGTTTTTTCACTCGTTTATTCTTTTTTTTCTAGTTGGATTTTTAGTTAAAAAAATTGGTAATTCCTCGCTTTTTCGGTTTTTTCTATTAATTTGCGCGATTTTTTGGCACCTGCCAATGTCACTCTAATTAAAAGTAATTGAAATTAATCAATTGGTTTTGATTCAGTTCTTGAAACCAATTTTTTTTTGTTTTAACGGAAGAGATTAATGATTATTGAATCATGGGGACACGATTGTTTTTTATTAATAAATTAATAATAGGATAATTGAGGAGACTCAGAGGTTTTAATAACCATTGAAACTAATTTTTCGTACGAGAAATAGAGTATTTTTGTTTTTAAAAAATCCTAAAATCTCAACTAAAATAGTAAAATCTCCCCAATGAAATCCCTCGAACTCATCTCGAAAATTTTTTATCACAGGAAAAATTCTAATGTCCCCAGATAAATCGAAAATTAAAAAATGAAATCCCTAAAGAAATGGTTGAAGAACTCCCCACATTCACTCGGTCAAGAGAAAAAAATTAAAAAGAAAAATGAAATTGTTAAAAAAACAAAAATTAAAATTTACATACTCCCTCTTTATATTACATCAATTAAATTAAAGTCTGAACCCTCGACGCCACCAACAGAGATTCATCCATCTGTACGACTCGACAATAAATAAATAATTAAATAATTTGTTTTTCCTCGAAAAAGTGTCCCTCGATCATTACTCAATGCTAGAGATCTGTTAGACAAAAGCCTAGCCATTCATCCTCTCAAAAAAGAGATAAAAAACAATTCAATTTACGTATTCCCTCTCACTTGTCCCTACAATAATTCGTAATATTACACACGATATTAACGTTACTTGTTACTTAATAACCGTAATAATAAATCGTATATATAATATAGTTCTATAGACAGTCAGATCCCCCAGGATCCAATTTGAATCCATCCTCGTGAAACTCCTCAAAACAATCTCATTGCAATTAATCTTTAGACAGAAAGACACCTGCACTCGCCAGTCATTCTTCCCACTATTTACAAATTTGTTTTAAACTAGTTTTGATTAAGTGTGGAATATAAAAAGCTAAAAATTTCTCTGTCACCATGAACCCAAGTAATCCCACATTTCCATTAAAAATCTTCGGCAAATATTTCGGACTCCATTGGAGACGAAAGAACGTATTCACCAAAAATTTCGTTACTCCCACGCAATCCAAAACAATCGCCAAAAAGTCGCGAATAACTAATTAAAATCACTGAACTATTGAATTCAACTTGATATTAAAAATTCCCCCCCCCCCC